TATTTATTTATTTTTATTTATTACATTTATTTATTGTGTGTGTGTGTGGCCAGCTCAGCCCACCAGGGGGCGGATCTGGCTGGCATGTGGTGCTGGGGGATCGAACCGCGGTCCCTGTGCTTTGCCAAGCTTGTTTCAAGTAGATGCTTTAGACCACTGAGCCATCTCTCCAGCCCAGAATTTTTTTTTAAATAGCAAAAATATTTAATTTTATACAGTACCTGAAATTGGTAATAAGTGTATCAGCATTCAGATTTCCAGTGCTGTTCTTATAAATGTCATGGTTGTTTGAGTCAGGAACCACACAAATCCTGCACATTGTATTTGGTTGTTGTGTGTCTTAAATTTTTTGTTATCTATAAGTGCCTCTTTTTTCTTTTCTTTTACTACTTGTTCAACTAAACTGTGTATCTTGTGGTTTCACAGCTGCTGGGTTTTGCTGGCTCTCTCTGTTGAATGTTTCTGTGCCCTTCATTGGTTTCCTTTGTAAGTTGGTGAGATCAAGAGGTTTCAGCTGATTCAAGCAGAATTCTCGTTTGAAGGCAGCAATTTTGGTGTTGAGTTGTCCTAGAAGACTGGCTCCATGTATGGGTAGAAGGAGGACAGGAAATGACCCCATCTTGTATCTTAGACCACTTAGGTGGCATTTACTTTTGATTTGTTTGTTCTGTTTTAATTAACTTTGTAGTACTGGGAATTAAACCTATGGCCCTCACACTGAGCTTCATTCCAAGTCTTTTGTTTGTTTGTTTTTTTGAGACAGGTTCTTGTTAAGTTCATTTGCCTCAGCTGGGCTCAAACTTAGATAGATCCTCCTGGGGCCAGGAAGAAAGCTCAGTAGAATAAGTGCTTGCCTGGCAAGCGCAGGGTCCTGAGTTTGATCCCTGGTACCACAAACAAAACAAAACAAAACAAACTTAGATCCTTCTGCTTTAGCCTCCCAGAGTGCTAAAATTACAGGCATCTACCGTCACACCCAACTTGATTGTATTCTTAAATGAAAATTTTTAATCACATATAGCATATTCAAATGCACATTTTGAACCACTAGGAAGACAGTATGCAATGTGTTAATTATTGAAACTGTCCTACCAATTTGATTTGAAACTGTTTCATGCTATTTGTCTCTCAATAAAATTATGGAAAAAACAAAAATAGAACAAATGCACATTTGTAAGTGTACAGCTCAATAACTGCACAAAATAGACCCACTATGTAATTACCACTCAGAGAAATCTAGAACAGTGTTAACTGTTGTTGGAGTGCTTTGTGATCCTATGTAGTTCTTACTCCCCAAAGATAACCATTCTAATATCTGTTACCAAAGAATAGTTTTTATAGTTTTTCTCATAGTTGAAATTTCTATAGGGCCGGCCAAATAGCTCAGCGTATTAAAGCATCTGTAAGCAGATACAGGGGTCTGGGGTTTGATCCCCAGGCGTACCATGCCGGCTCCACCCCTGGGGCAAGCTGAGACTGCGGTTGATAGTGGGTGTGGTGGTGTGCGCCTGTAATTCCAGCACTTGGAAGGCTGTAAACAGAAGAATCACTACAAGTCTGATCTAGTAGTGAGAGCCTGAACACCCTGAAGACCCTTCCCTAAAAAATACAGGGGAAAAAAAGGGAGGGCTGGGGAGATGGCTCAGTAGAATAAGCACTTGCCTGGCAAGTGCAAAGGCCTGAGTTCAATCCCCAGTTCCACAAA